GTTCATCTAAACTAATTGAAAAGTCCCAGTAATCTCGTCTAATCGGCGTTTACTACAGCTGACTACAACTTCTGTGAAACAACTGGGTCACTTTCACTTGTCTGTTTAAGGACGTTAGTCCAAAAATAACTCACATCAAATCATGGAAGAACTCCAATGAATGCTTTGCACTATTCGTCGACACATTTGACGCTAGGATCAACCTGGACAATACAACCGCACATCCTCGTAAGGAGGAGGAAAAGAGGCTTGTGGCCTGTTTTCACTCCGAAGGCTAAGTTGTGGTTGGAAAACGCGCTCTATTCTCCACTTGTGGTTGGACAAAACTTTTGAGAACGCGAAGTTTGTTTCAACTTTTAACCTCAACCTTTCCCGCTTGTCCTTCTAAAAAATGTACCATCACTAAATTGGAGCCAGAAAAGCTCCTCAATTTTTTCGACCGGAAGGTTATCGTAGTTGTTCCACTACTTTTGTTGCCGACTACTACCTTTTAGACCTTTTTAGACAAAGTTCAGAGTTACTTTCTGTCATCAACAGAATTTTGTGAGTGTTGTATTAGTGATTACTCTCGCAGACACAAGATTATGGGAAAACAAATTATGGGCTTCTTATCAGTAATTGTAAAGCGCCATACTATAACGGATTATGATAATAGCGACGAAACTGAAATACATTTGAACACAGAAAGAATCAACGTCTAGGGGTTTTGTCGAGGTGAACTTAGTCTCGAGAGTCGAGTTGGAGCGATATTTCAGATTTCTCTTTCGCCCTCTATAGAGAATAAAATTGCCTTTGTATTATTTGGATATTCAGTGCCCTTATTGAAACTCTTTGAAGAAAACTGCTGTTCAGGAGAGCGCTAGCGCCAAGACGTCGTAGATTTTTAGTAGCATAAGTAGCTTGCGTGGGAGGAAGGTAACCCTCGGAAAATAGGATCAAAATTGGAAGTGAAACCGTCATTTTCAGTGGTGGTTCACGTACTTTACTTCCATTCAGAATGGTGGTGGCACATGGATTGCTATTAGGTCTTCAAAATAACGCGCGGGGTCCAACTGATGCGCAACTCACTGTTTTTATCTCTACTGACAAGTATGGGACTGATAAAGCCACTCCGGAGTAATGGTGCGATTTGTTGATCAGACCGAGAGTCCAACCGCGATTTGACCGGAGTGCGCATGTACCCTTTTCTACGCTGAATTTGTCCTAAGCAGAGGTAGCAAGAACTGTGGAGCTAAATAATGCCGGGTTAGGAAAGACTTCCCAGTGATTTCAATGTTGTAAATATCCAGATAAGCTCGAAATGCTTAATTCAAAAGTCTCGAAAGAAGCTGGAAGGTGTGGTATGTTTCCGAACATTTTGTTGCTTTGCACCTCTTTGGCGATCTGAGCCGATCTGAGTGGGCCCGCTGTTACGGTATAGCTACCCTCACGAGTACC